CTACAGGGGGTGCTGTGAATGTGTTGGTGCTTTTATTGTTTAATATATCCAATAGTTTTATTTAATTAAGACATAGGTCATTAATTCCGTTACCAAGACTGATGTACAGCTCAGCACAGATTGTTCAATGAGCAAGATGCTGTGCTAGTTTTCTAGAATAAAATAATTTGTTGAGTAATTGCACTGCTGTTGAAGTAGTTGAAGCACCATGTAATATAACTATTAATGACCAGGTCGATGGTTTATGTGGTTTTATTGTTCTTTAAAATAATTTGATTCCTTTAAACTGATATGTGTATTATTTAACCAAAACGAACTCTTTGGCAGCCGTGTGAACAGACATGCTCAGTGATTTTTCCAAGGCTGCAGGGTTTCTTGATTTCTGTGGTGGACCCCTCATTCATCCATCTCTGCAGCCTTTATTTCCACATAATTGCAACCAGCATCTGCTAAGATGAAGCCTACAAGCCCTCCGAGCCAGGTGTATTTTTAGAAGTACACAGACTGAAAGAACAAAGAAAAGTGCTCAAGTCTGCTGTTGTGATTGGCTACAGCTGGTCTGTATTCGTCGGGAACATAAAAGAAATATCTAGAGTGGAAAATGAATGAAAGCTTTTTTTTCCTCCCCAAAAACGAGCCCTAAATCATAAAATCTAATTGTTGAGAGCTGATCCCAGGGACAGCAATGATGAAAACATGAGCACAAATATGGAGTAGTCACTGACTTCAAACATGCAGTAGTAACATGCACTAGTAGTAGCACATAGATAGATAACATTAGAACCCACTGAGTTGGAGGAAAATCGATTCAAGGTGAAAATTAAATTTGGCCAAAAGAGCCTTAAGGCAAAGTGCAATTTGAAAATACATCTTATATTTTCCCCTGGGCATCTGACCTTGGACATGAGATGGATGGTAGATGTAACCGTCATGGAATAAGGCAGTTGTTGGCTCTGAGGCAAAGGGAAACACCCTCATCTCAACCCTAATGTGCCTCCCCTTTGATTGTATAATTCAGTTAGGGCCAACCGTCCCTTATCAGATCCTATCAAAGGTCAGAGGCGTCCTGTAGACAAATCAATCTCCCTGTCTGAGGAGCTGCAGAGGATAGAGGTAGAGCCGATCCATGCAGAAAGCCCAGGATGAAGGGTGTTAAGGGGGAAGGAGAGGTGAGGGTAAGAAAAATAATGGCATTCGCCATTCAGAGAGAATTGGGCAAGAAAAAAAATCCACTTTTTCTTTGAATATTCCGTGCATACTAAGAAAAATTCTTTTAGACCAACTGTCAATGGCTAAAGCAAAAAAATTAAATATATATATATATGTATATATATTTATATATATATATATATATAAATTTTATATATATAAAAA